CCATCAGTGTGCTAATGATCCATTGTTAGGCTGATGGTCCTTCTTGAGCATGTGATCAGCTGGTTTTGGTTGTCAGCAGCAAAACTGGTTGATCCACTCTGAGAAGGTGCTATTTAAGAGACTGAGCTGAATACAGCTCCTCAGACTGAGGAAGTCTCTCGGATGAGAGACGAAACGTTTCTACATTTTTTTGTTGATTTGCTTTGTTTTGTTTTTTTGAATGTCCAGAGGACCAGATTTAACTTTTTTAGATTTTTCTACCTGGATTATTGAGCATGCATCAGGATAAAATGTATTATTATTATTATTATTAATTTATCTTTGACAAGATGGCCACCTGCATCATGAAGGACCCCACTCACCCAGCATACACACTTTTTGTCCTGCTCCCCTCAGGCAGAAGGTGGAAGAGTATTAAGCATAGAACCACTAGACTGAGGAACAGCTTCTACCCTGAAGCTGTTAAGACTCATGAATCAGGATTATCACTGTGAAAAAAAAATCACTAATGCCACGTGATTGTTGATATATGCTGCTGACTATCCATGATGCTCATCTCATGCTGCTGATTTATTTCATGTTGCCGTGTTCATTGGTCCTCATCTGCTCACACAGACTCATGTTCGTGCTGCTGTTGATTGGCGCAGTTTTGTACTAGTAGTGCTTAGTGTATTCTTAGTTTAGCGTATTTCTTAGTTCATATCTTAGATCTTATTAGTTTTTCTTTACAATTTGTATTTTTGTTGGATGAAACTGGGACTCTGTGTAGTTTTGTTCCATGTCATGTACGTGATGTGAATGACAATAGACACCTTGACCTTGATATGTAGTTCTTTTTATCTCATGTACAATATATGTAATGGTTTTACTGTTTACAGCTGGTTGATCTGCATTATTAACCATTTATAAGCCATTTATAAGGACATCCTTACTGAAAATAGATATAAAAATCTATTCTTTGTGGTTGTTGAGTTTTAGAGGCCTATAAAACGTTTTTTATACTCGACAGCTTCAGTATTTGCTCAAGCCTTTCCTGTCTCATGGGTGTGTACCTTTGGATCACGAGGCTGACTGACCCATTCTGTTCCTCAAGATGACTCATGAGCACCGAGTCTGGGAGAGCCTGGTCAGAGTGGATCAGCACCAGCTGCTCTGCTGAAGCTCCCAGGTGTGCCGACAGAGCCCATTTCAGCTGTGCACAGAGAAACACACAAACACTTTGCTGCAAAGCACAAACACATTAGCAGTAATAATGGACAACACATCGTGGTCCAGAACCAGCGGCTGTCCGCTCTCCTGACCTGTCCGACGGTGCAGCCTCCACCGACACTGTATTCACGGCTCTCTGCGTCACTGCTGATGACAACTCGAACCCAGCAATCACCAGCTTTTCCCGGATCATCCTCCACCAAGCCCGACATCTCAGCTTTATCCTTCAGATGAAGATGAGTGGATCAGGAGCGATTAGTCCTGCATCGGAGGAGAGTGTGTGTGTGTGTGTGTGTGTGTGTCAGTGACTCGGCAGAAAGCTGGAACCCATCTGCACAGTCATGCAAGATTTCTGTGCACTGCTACAACGGAGGAAAACTATTAGTGAGAACTATTTCACAAGTATGACATCTGCAGCCGTTAAATCGATGCTTTCTAGGTGTTTTACTTTAAAAATTTTCTTCTGCATCAAAATTCAATCCAAATTTATAAGTTAATCTTTGAAACGTTTGAAGCCATGCTGAATGCTGAATATTTGAACGATCATACTCTTTGTACACACAGTATATTGAAAAGTCACTATAGATTTTTGCACTTTAAGCAGAGATGTTGCTGTGTTTTGTTTTTCAAGAATCCACATTTTTCTAAAATTAAAAACATTACACAAAGTTCTTCACTGAAAAGATGTTTTATTTACTCAACAGTGAGGAAAAGAAAACAAAACGATACATTTTAATCTGTCAATTTGGCCTCAAACCCCATGGAAAGACAGGCAGAGCTTTTGACAGTCCTCGAGATGCTGCGGCACCACAGAGCGCCCAGCAAGCATCTCAACACGAACGTTAAACCCAGTCGGTTACTTCTAAAAGCTTCAGTAAATCTCATTTGGTTGTGTTATGCAGCATGCCATGTCGGGAGTGTATGTGTGCAAGTTTGTGTGTTTAGAGGGACATGCAGGCTGATTAGAAGTCCAACTTAAAAAAAAAACAAAACAAAGAAATGGAAAAAAGAATCGTAATTTTGAGCAGTGGCGCTTTTGCTCTTTTTTCCATCCATTAATTATTCCCTCTGAATGCTTCATAGATCCGATTCGCAGCCTTTCTTCCCTTTCTTGTTTCCCTGCCAACAACAACAACAAAGGAGAAACAGAAAGTACAATTACTTACATTTGACTGTTATTTTATCCTACTAATTGTACTTGATGGTGAAAGAAACAGTGAAACAAACAGCTTAGACTGGAAACAAAATAAACTTAGAACAGAATTTGATTGAATCAGGGAAAATCAAATTATTTATTTCAGTTATTTATTGTTTTAACTGATGAAAAAAAAAAAACTGAGCCGACCCAAACAGTGACTGAGATGCAAAAAATGCATACAATTAGATTTTTTGATTACTTTATTTTTGTCTAATTGAAACATTTCTTCACTTCTTCTGACCTTCTGGTTGTTGTTTTTTTTTTTTTTACCCAATTTATGCTGTCAATCAAAAACGATATTATTTTAGTAATTTCGTTGATTTAAAGAAGGCATTTGATACAACGACAATATTATTCTCTGTGAAAAATTGAATAAATATGGCATTAGAAGACTAGCACTACAGTGGATACCTAGCTATTTAAAAGATAGGAAACAGTTTCTACAAATAAATGAAGTAAGATCTAACCTCTGTAATATCACATGTGGAGTTCCTCAAGGTTCTGTACTTGGACCAAAGTTATTTATTTTATATGTGAATGACTTGGTAAATTCAAATTCAAATTCAAATTCAAAAATACTTTATTAATCCCAGAGGGAAATTAAATAATGTGTCAAATGTGTCAGGACTCCTTATATGTATTTTATTTGCAGATGATAGTACATTGTTTTGTTTGGGTAAAGGTATAGAACGGGTGTTGAAGTTGATGCAGACAGAATTTGTAAAAATACAAACTTGGTTTAAACTTAATAAATTATCATTAAACTTAGATAAAACTAACCATATGATATTCAGTAACAGAAAGAGAACTGTCGTTAGAGTTGACGGTGTTGAGATTTGTAGAGTTAGTGAGGTGAAGTTTTTGGGTGTTATCATCGATGACAAGCTAACATGGAAACGTCACATAAAATATGTAAGAACAAAAAGAGCCAAATTTATTGCAGTACTGTACAAAGTAAGGGAATTATTGAATGATACAGCTCTGTATATGTTGTATAACACAATATTTGTTCCACACTTAATTTTTGTATTGATGTTTGGGGGAAAGCGTGCAAAACAATTATAAATCCTATTTTTGTTTTACAGAAAAGAGCTGTAAGAATTATTACCAGGAAGCATTTCAGTCACCCATCCAGTACTTTATTTTATCAACTGAAGTTACTGACGTTCCATGATTTGGTAGATTATAATATTTTATCAGTTATGTATAGGGCTCATAATAATACATTGTTATTCAGCTGAATACAGCACCTCAAACTGAGGAGGTCTTTTGGGTGAAAGACGAAATGTTTCTACATTTTTTTTGGCCGTTTTGCTTTGTTTTGTTTTTTGAATGTCCAGAGGACCAGATTTAACTTTTTTAGATTTTCTACCTGGATTATTGAGCATGCATCAGGATATTATAGATTAATCTGGAGAGTGATATTAAAAATGCCAGATCAATGTCTATGTTTAAGATAATGATCAAAGTTTTGTTAAAAAAATAAAATAAAAATGAAATAGCTTAATGTGTATTTGTATGAATTGATGTTCGAGAAGAAGTTGTTTATTTTGTTTTTGTTATTTGAAGAATATTATTGTTTGAATTGATTTTTGGTAAAAAGGGGCAGATATAAGATTTTTTTTCTTCTTTCTGCTGCCTTTCATTTTATTTGTGATTGTGTCCCTTACTGTATATTGATTTTTTTCTTTTGTTTAAATTAATAAACTTATTAACTGAACAAACTAAAACTCAAGAAAGAAAAAAAGGCTACATGTGAACAAAAACACACACTGATATCAGATAACATACACCTCATACAGAAAGTATCAAAGTACAACTGTCTCTTTGCTTCACCTCAGCTCTGATGTTGTACATGCATATAAAAACACTGGATTCTGACTCCAGTTCCTTCCTTTTCTTTTTATTGGGTCCTCCACAGAGACATTCATTAAAATATGTATATTTGTACTCTTACCTGATGTTTTGGTTGTTCGGACTGCAGCCCTTTAACTTTAGATCTTTCTTGTTCAAGAGCAGCATGTAATAATGTCACCTGAATAAAAAGTATGAATTCGTTAATAAAAGTACGTGCGACCAACAAACCTCACATTTCTCCCCGTCACCCCGAGTTACGCACCTGTGAAGACAATTCCTCTTTAATATGCAGCAACTCTTCTACCTGCAGAAGAATTTCAGCTTTGTCTTTCACTGAAACGAGACATTAAGACGTCAGCAAACATGGAGCAGAACATCTGAATGCTTCATTCAGGTGGTTAATGTAATGCTCAACTCACTCTCTCCCTGCTGGAGCATCTTAAGCAGCTGGGAGTTTCTTGCTTTCACCTCTTTGTATTTCACCTGCACAGTTAACAAGATTTATTTGTGCATTGTGAAATTGTATTTGATGATTATACTATAAAAGGTTGGGGTCACTCCTGACCTCCCACTGTGAAATGGTCTTCTTTAGCTGCTCAATCTCCCTGTCCTTCTTCTCCAGCTCATACTTCAGCTGTTCTGTTCGGGGGTCCTAACAGCAAAATTTGACAGAAAAGATGATGTCAGGACCCACTCTTCACACTCTTTAATTATTGGGCTAGGTAAAGAAAACATTTTCTCAGATGACTGCGCAAAAGAAAACTGAGCTCAGGTCATCCAAGTACCTGAAGTTTGTTAAATAAAAACATGTAGAATAGCATCTAACAAGGGTGAGTCAGGTCCTCTGGACGAATTGTTCTTTGTTCTAACATTTCATCTTTTATCCAAAGCACTTCCTGAGTCTGAGGCGCTGCAACAAACTCAGTCTTATAAACAGTACCTTCCTGATGTGGATCAACCAGTCTGCTGCTGACAGCCAGAACTAACTATTCACATGTAAAAGGAGGACCATCATCTTAACAATGGATTGCTAAAGCCCTAACAATTGGGAGTGATATAAAAATATGTTTTATAAGGTGTTAAGTTGCCTTTATGCCTATTCAAACATATACATTTTGTGTGTGTTACTTTTCAGAATTAAATGTCTAAATTGCCATAAAAGGCAAGGGTGGAATGATATAGGAATGATTATTTTGATGCTTTTATGTCAATTTATACTTATTTTACACTCATTTACATGTAGTTTGAAAACACACTTATACAACGTGTTATTCACATATTATGTTTTATAAGGTGTTAAGTCGCCTTTATGCCTGTTCAAACATATACTTTGTGTGTGTGTTACTTATAATATTTAGACACTCTTTGATGGTTAGCAGAGGGACGGAGGGGGGCAGTGTATCCTCTCTAGGAATGCTTTAATAAGCATTAGGAGTGCTTTTGACCTGGAAGCTTTGGCCCGCTTTTACGGTCACGGTGCTCCTTACTGGAAGGATGAGCCATCGCTTTGATGATGGAAAAAACATGTTTTAATTAGATCTGTCCTCCTGACAACCATCAAACTTGTTTTTCACTGCTCTCACGCGATCAGGAAAAGGTATAAAGGAGGTGTGACAGGCAAGGGAAACTTAGAAGTCTTGTGTGGACCAGCGCGCGGTGCCATGCAGTTGTGACGTGAGCTCTGTCATTTGGATCGAAAGGCTTCCCGATCATTTGTCACGGTGAGAGATACTCATATCAATTTGTGTGTTAAGAGTGTACAAGTGTACATGACTTTGCTTGGCTGTTTTCTTGTGGCAGATTAATAAATGACAAATATTATTCTAGCAAGTTACAGTCTCTGTGTTTTATTTTTCCTCTTGTCTGAATATCTGGTGCCGATCGTTCACGAACCCTTTTGATAAAGAATTTCATAATACAGGGAGTTTCAGAGAAACTGAGACATTTATTTTCTAAACATGATGTCCCAGTGGCTTTCAAACCCAAAAGACATTACGATAAAAACTGGTTGATCCCAAAGATCCAATCCCCCGGCACAAACAAGAGTAAAATTGTGTATGTTGTTCAGTGTCAGGAGGGCTGTGATCAGTCATACGTCAGTGAAACTAAACAGCCACTGGCCAAAAGGATGGCCCAGCACCGAAGATCAACATCATCAGGCCAGGACCCTGCAGTCTACACTCATCTCCAGGCCAGCGGTCACTCTTTCAGGGATGAAGATGTTCACATCCTGGATAGAGAGGAATGATGGTTTGAGAGAGTGAAGGAAGCCATCTTTAGCCCTATTCGCACGGGATTAGTTTTACCTAAGGACCACATGTAATAAATAAATTACCCCCAACGTCTGTTTTTATGTGGCACATTTGCACGGGATAACCAAAGCCTGAGATTTAGCTGAAATTTACAGACATCTTCCGGATATGATGTTAACGTGCTGCGTTGTCACGACTGGGCCGGTCCATAATAATGTGTTTAATGTGCGGTTCCGGATGGTCTCCTGCTTTGATGTGGTTTTACAAATCAGCACAAAAAAAAACTAAAGAATGAACAATACAAAATTGTGTTAATCTACTTGTTGAGGAGGAGGCAGGACCGACCAGCCGGTTTAAGAGGTAAAAAAAAAGCCATGTGCTGTCACCGGCCGTGCACGTGAGCACGTCTGCGCGTCTGCTGACCTGCCGGTTGAAATGGACTTGCGACCTGTCCAGGGTGTCCCCCACCTCTCGCACAGTGATGGCTGGACATGGGCACCAGTGACTCCCGCTACCCAAAAAGGAAGAAGCGGGTAAAGATAACGAATGGATGGATGGGTCGATCACGCACGTGTCTCCGCACCTCCTGTCATCTGCGGTGAAGGAAGTAGCAGCATCTAAAAAAGCTGAAGCGAGCAGCGCGTTCATTTAAAATAGCTTTGTTCTATATTTTTCCAAATGACTTTGCTTAGACAACAAAAACAAAAAATGCCTCATTACGTATCAGATCCTGCGCATTTCTGTCCAAATCACAGAGATGCCCATTCACATTGGATTAGAATTACCACAGGCCTCGGAGTTCAGCAAAATACAGTAGGTAATATGCGTGGGAATTTTTACTTTACAAATTACTTACATGGCCAATTCACATGGGATTAACAACACAGACGAGCTCTGTAATTATTACAAATAGCATGTGGTCCCTAGGTAAAACTAATCCCGTGTGAATAAGGCTTTAGTGAAGAAAACCCATCTATTGTTAAACGGGCGGAGGCCTCCATGTTCAACTGTCCCCCTCTTACAATGCTGTTGTTGCAAGAATAACTCAGACCTCTGTGAATAACAAGGGACCATCAGGGCACTAACAATCAATTGTTAGGTTGATGGTCCTCCTTTTGCAAATAAACAACTAGTTCTGGATGCCACCAGCAAACTGGTTAATCCACTATGAGAAGGTGCAGCTTATAAGACTGAGTTTGTTGCTGCTCCTCAGACTGAAGATCTTTTGGATAAAAGACGAAACATTTCAACAAAGAAGAATCCGCCCAGAGAACCTGACTTAACCTTGTTAAGATTTTTTTTTACCTGGATTACAGAGGATGCATCAGGTCATGTAGAAGAGTGTTGCTGTTGTATGAGCGTTACTTGACTCACCGGTTCGTGCTCTGAGGATGTGTTGACTTCTTGACCCTGGCTGTTCGTGTACTGCTCACGTCTTTTCTCCCTTTGGATAATTCGACTAACATCATCTTCCAGTTTATTGAAAAACCGCTCCTCCTGTCCAGTTCTTAACGCTGGGTTTGACACTCTGGAGTCCTGAAAGAGAGTATGGTCAAAACTAAAGTCATGACGTGTCTTATTGTAAATGTTATTCTGCTGCAAAAGGTGTGAGAAATTTATTTACAAATATTGTTTGTTGCAATATTCATTTCTATATTGACCACTATGTTTATTGCAATGAAGAATTTGATCATGCTATCACTGTCATTTGTTAATAAACAGCTTATGTATTTATTTGTATTAAATCTGAGTTGTTACCAAATGACCATAGCTTTTAATGGTCTGGTAAAAACTCAAGTCTTCACTGCATTAACTTTCTACTTTATGATCATTATGCCAAAAATAAATACTTAAAACCTCATACTCACCTCCTTTTCTGGTTTTTTATTAATATGTTCTGCAAAGAAAAAACAAAAATAAAAAATGTAAAATAAATGATTATATTGTTTGTAGAGGAATTTATATCCAGGTTGTGTGCACGTGAGAACAAATAAATTTTAAATTGAAATATTTTGAAAGTGATCAGCTGATTTTTCTCACCAGTAACACCTTCAGCTTGAAAGTCCTGCAAAGAAACCGTCTTTTTCTCTTTTGCCTGTTGATTCTTCTTCTTGTCCTTCTTCACACCACCCTCTTTTGCTCCCCGTAATTTGGGTGAAATCACGTTTGTGTTGCTCTGCTGGAGAAAAACAAATAATTTCAGCTCATTCTGTTAAAATAGTAAAAGCTTTTACCAGTATGTATGATTTCCACAGCATTCAAAGTAATACAGTATGAAAACTACAAATTTAATGATCATTTTATGCAATTAATCAGTTTGACCTTTTTAATAACTTCAGGTCTCTCTTGTAAATGAGTCCTTGAGGCTCAGCGGGATTAACCAGTCTAAATAAAGGTTGAACGAATAATAACTGCCTTATTTTCCCCCCAAAAACAAAAGTCACAGACAATAATAATAATGTCATCACAATGTCAGCACTGTATGTTTCCATACAATGGCGAAATTAGTCTCTGCATTTAACCCATCCACCACCAGGTGGCAGCTATTGAGAGCGCCTGGGGGGCATTTTGGGGATGAGGAGTGCTGCCCAGAGACGCCAGGTGATGTGCAGTGACTGGGGATAGAACCTGGGACTTTTGGGTCCCAAGCCGGCTGCCCTGCCTCTACACCATCTCGGCCCCCAAGAGAATAGAGAAAAAAACAACATCAATTAATGCATCTAATGAGAATTTAACCAACTTATGACACACATTTATTGCTTTGACAGTTTAAGACCTCTAAGAAGGTCCAAGGTTTGACAGAAAACACAAGAAAAACAAAAAAGCATCTTATTAAGTTTTCGAAAAATAAATTAGCTCAAAGGATAGGCAGCACGGTGGCGCAACTGGTAGAGCTGCTGCCTCTCAGCGAGCAGGTCCTTGGTTCAAACCCCGGTCCAGGGGCCTTTCTGGGTGGAGTTTGCATGTTCTCTCCGTGCATGCATGGGTTTTCTCCGGGTGCTCCGGTTTCCTCCCACAGACTAAAAACATGCATGTTAGGCTGATTGGTAACTCTAAATTGTCCCTAGGTGTGAGTGAGAGAGTGAATAGTTGTTTGTCTCGTTTGTCTCTATGTGTCCCTGTGATGGACTTGAGATCCGTCCAGGGTGTACCCCACCCCTCGCACAGTGATTGCTGGACATGGGCACTGGCGACCCCCGTGACCCAAAATGGAATAAGCGGGTAAAGATAATGGATGGATGAAATTAGCTCAAAGGTCAATATTGCAATAATAGATAAACAAAAATTATTGTCCAGATTTTATGCATAGGACATCATATTTACGGCATCAAATTAAATGTTTTGATTAAAATCATATCCAAATTATTAAACTTTTGACTATTCTGCTTGCACATATTATATTTTCTAAAGAATTAGTGTGTGTGTGTGTATGTGTGTGTGTAATGCACCTGTTTCTGTTGTTCATACTCCAGTTTACTTAGAATCAAGGCCTTTTCCAGATCAGCCTCATACAGTTCTGTGGTTATCTACAGAGAAAACAGAGAACAAACAAAACTAATAACATAAACATAGTTAGGACCATTGGACAGGCTTGTAATATAACTATCAGACAGACATGTTGCCTTCTTGCAGCTCATCTTTTGTCACGACATAATGTCAAACATCTCATGTAAGAAGTGTTCTTAGGCCAGCAGTGGAGAAGCGAGTCCAGTTTTGTCAAAGACATTTATGATGCGAGCTGTTATTCTGTCTGACCTGCTCGTCTCTCTGCTTCCACTGCTGCCACCCCTCTGAAGGTAATCCATGGTCTCCTGAGGTCGGGCTTAGGAGGCCACTGGCAATGCCCGACAGAGTCATAGAGGACTGTGGGGCGCAGGACTTCTGAGGAATCTTCTTGAAGGCCAGATTACGTAACTGATAGAAAGACAAATCAAACTTAATCCAATCAGAATGACGCTTTGTCTCAATTTCTGTAACAAAACCGTCTGTCTACTTTAGGATGGGTCGAGTCGATGGATGAAAGTCAATCATTACTGTTCAACTGCAGCAAAAAATAAAGCCTGACAGAATATTGCAGGACAACCAGGTGACAGCCACTGCTTGATAAATTTGTTTTAATCGCCTGGAAAACAGATTTCTGTCAGATCAGCTGGATATTATAACAGACCCATGACTGAAGAAAGAAGGAAGAACCTTTTAGATCACTTACTTGTACTTTATCCTCCTATTACTGAAACTGTCCTCTGACCACTAAATACTGTTTTTACTTGTCATTTGATTCATTAGTCAATGCTGTGAGGTTTGGGATTAGCATTCCTCATGTCCTCACCTATAAGAGCCATCTATTTAAGCTTCAGATATATAGGTTTTGTGGAATTCATAGGGGGAAAAAACGTGACTGAAGGGCTTTAAGCATTTAATATCAACACAAAACTGGAGAACACTACTGTCTTTTGTTAAGACTCAGTTCTGGAAGGAGTTGCAAACCTCCTGTACTTTAAATTAGAAATGGAAAAACTCCTGAAATGTTCTTCCATGTTTTAGTAACTGTGAGTGAGAAGTTGACTTAAATAATTATCTACATTCTTGAATTATTTATAATAATAATAGTAATAGTTTAGAAAAAAAAGAAAAACGTGAAAGATTTATTATTTGCCAACTTATTTTATTGTCATAACTTGTTTTTTTTCTCAGTTTTAGGCAAAACTAAGTCTTTTCTGCAAGTTCACCTCTGTCATCTCTGTTCACCTCTCGCTCTGTCTGCAGTTTCACTTACAATGAAATGAAACCAACGAGCTCAGTGGCATCAGCTAAATAAAGATCCACCATTGTTCAAAAGTTTCAACCCACCCATTATTTTTTTATACTGCGCTTCCAAGGAGCCAAACCTCCTTGAAATCTTTTAAAGTGGTCTCAATAAATATTTTTCTGATTTCCTGTAGAATTGTCAAAGTTTTTCTTTTTAGATAGATTTCAAACTGAAAAGACTGTAGGGACATTCATAATTACCGTACTTTGTTTATGTCACAGGAAAAAACTATTTCAGTTCTGCCCTACCAGTATGTATTAGGGGACTGTAAACTGCTGCTTCCACAACCACTGAGAATTCAAGGTTTTTTATTGTCATTCACATCACATGTGGTACATGAGGTGGAACAAAATTGTGTATTCAAGGTCCCAGTTACACCCCAAAATAGCACAACTATAAAGAATAAAAATAGAAACAGTAGACAAGGATCTAAGATATGTGCTAAACAATAATGTTGTAATATAATACGGTGTATTAAACAGCAGCCTGAACATGAGCCTGTTGTGAGCAGATGGATATGACTGTAGCAGCTTAAAGGCAAGAAATCAGCAGCATGGATAAAGTGACATATCACTAATTAAAGTGGCAGTTGGGTCAACGACTGCAATTGTGATTGAAGCATAAATCATTTTAAGAAACTGGAAGACACCTTGAGAGTCCGAGGTAAACTGGTACCTTATAAAAATGTAGCAGAACAAAATAAAAAAATACATGTCAGAGTGGAAATATTGTTTTGAATGTTTTGTTGCCGTTAGTTTATACAACCTTGTTTTCAGGGTGTTCTGTTTGTTTCGTTTTCCTTCAATTATGAAAATTAACTGTTTGATTAAGACTGTTTAATGATGGACGGGTTCTCGTCACAAAGATGGCTTCCTTAAA